CCCAAACCCCCACCCAAAAGAAAATCAGAAATGCATATTCGTAACATGTTTTTCTTTCCTTTGGGAAACTTAATTCTAGCTGATTTTCGTTATCTTTACTGTCTAATGAGTAAAAATGGATCTCTTCTATTTATCTCTATCACTGTTCTTTTGATTCTAGTGGTTTTGTCCCACAATATTATACATTAGCTAGTCATTTCAGTTTCCAATATAGAAGGATCAATATATTTTAGTTGCATTATAGGTCATAACCCCCATCCTTCGAAACAAAGGTATGTGATAGGTGACATGAGCTAATAACTAATCAATCAAAGAAGTACCAGAGAGAACTGTTCTCTTTTTGGGGCAGGCAAGAGCCATTGTATCCTAAAAATAGCAAGTTCGAAATGTCCTTGGTATTTATATATGCATACCTTCCCTACATAGAGCACGAAGATACAATGAAAGTGGGTCCCCGTACTTCCCATCATTATAAAGCACTTGTGTTCCACCTTCAAAGTTCTTTAGACCACGGAAATGTCTGATAGCTTCACGTACCACACAATACTTGGTAAAGCATTCAACCAACAAACTGAAAAAGGCACATGAAGAGTCATCACATGAATCATTTTTTGGAGAGGAAAAAAAAGCACAACTTTTACACAAGACTGTGTGTGGGTGCATAACAATGTACTAATTAATACAATGCCTCGTCCTTGCTTCCACCCCTGCAGTTGGCTAACAAAAAAGGTTGGCTGTGAACTCTAGAAACAACTAAACAGAGTACACAGAAAGAACAAAGTACTACTCCTTACTTAAAAGGCTCATGCTATTTATTTTCAATTTCTCCAGACTCAATCCTTAGGAATAAAACTTTGTTGACAAGAAGGCTCAGAGTATAAATCTCCACCCAATTAAAGAGAGTTTCCAAGAAGAAAATATATTTTCTTATATAGAAAAGCTGCATCAAGTTATCAATAAACTGATTCCCCAGGATCAAACTTTGGGCTTGTCATGAAAGAGGGACAAGCTGGAGAAAAAAGGATTCAAGAAATGTGACCCAGTCGTATTGGCTCATACCATAGCCTTGCCGCAGTAGGGAAATTGAGACATTTCGGGGTGAATAATCTGAATTTTACTTTCTAAAAACAGAGAAATGTCCATGCTATAGAAAACTCATTGAAGATAGAATAAAAAGAAAGTTCCGTACGCATAGGTTCTCACGTTAGGTTGCACACGTTTATGGTCCTCAACCATCATCCCCAGTAGCTCAGCAACATCCTGCACTCTAACAGTCAGACAAAAAGCTTCGGTAAAGATTGTATGATTAGTACAAAAAAGATAATAATTTTTTACATTTCTCAACCATAATTCACATGAAAGACTTATCAGAAAGATGCACAACACTTCAATCAACAGTGGACTCCTGAAGTCAATGCACAGATAAAGTCACAAATTTAAGAGACATGCTATCCTCCATTTCAATTATTGTGTCTTAACTTTCCTTCATAGTTTGTTTCAAAAGAATGCCACATTTCTATATTTAGTAAGTTCTTTATTCCAACATTCCAATAATATCCTTAATGACACTCCCTTATAAGAATGACATGGCAATGTTTTAGACCACAAGATTCAAAGGGTATTTTTGGTATGTTATCCACATTTAGTTTAAGAACACAAGATTCAAAAGTCTTCTTTGCATTCTTAAATTGCATGTCCAATCAAATTAAGACACATAAAATAAAACAAAGGGAGCAATAGAGTTCCAAACTACGACTAAGAGTGTCATTAGCCACAATTTATGTAACCCATCTGAAGTTTGACAGGTTGGTGATTGATAAATAAAGGACAGATCATAATGGGTTGAGCGCGAATTGAGCCATTAAAATTTTGGGCTAACATTGGAAAAAGAATATAACCAAAAAATTGATTCTCAACCCGCTATTCTAAAGGTTTAGCCAATAGGACTGGATAAGTTACTCTAACTAAAAAACTAAAATAAAAAACGAAATAAGTGGACAGAGGAAAATTTCGTCCCAGCTGCAACAAGAAATTGTTTGAAAGTGGCCTTGAGTTGGACAAGTTGGGTTATTACCCACTACACAACATTGATTTGACCCAACTTACACTGCTATGAACAAACTTCGAATGGGTTAAAGTATGCCATTTCCTTCTGTTTAACCTGTCCAATCTTGATCCCACCCATTCATTTGAGACTCCTAATTATAACTCCAAGATTATAGTCAGTTTAGCTGACAGTTATTGGCAGATTCATTTAACACCCCTAACCATAACTCCAAGATTATAGTTAATTTAGCTGACAGTTATTGGCAGATTCCAAGGCACTCAAACAAATGGTAACTGCTATATGTCTGTTAACGACATGTTTATGAGCAAGTGTGGACAGAAGTTGAAAAATCAATCAAGCTCTTTAGCTATAGAAACATAAACCCAGATCATCAGGAGGTCTGTATATACTTAATTCGACAGCTCGAATCACTTCAGGTTTCAGCTAACTTTGATAGCATGTTTGGGAAGATAAAATTGCATATGATTCAGAACTCACCTATCATAGGACTCAGCCCTTGTATATGCTTGGATAACCCAATTATATGTCTCGGTATCAGGTTTCATATGATCTGCCAAACAAAGTTAATGATCAGCTTATTCGTTTAATAAAATATTGGTTGTTATCAGTTAGCACTCCGTGAGTAATAATACTACCAAGAAGACAACAAAACCAACAAAGAAATTTTTCCAGCATAACAAAACAGATGCAATAGCAACGTTGACTTCTAGTTTTTAATGAACAAGAAAAGCATTTGAAATTTTAAAAACAGTATCCGGATTTAAGTGCTTCAAAAGCAGATGCATGACAAATAAACGGAGCATATTAAGAATTTAGAAAATAATTTAGAGTAAGGTATACGTCATGTGAGAATTGTAACAATTCGGCTCCAAAAAAAGAAGGATCAAAATAAGCTTAAAAACAAAAGAAGTAATTTTGTAACATGAATCAATCCACCACCGCATACGAATTAGAGTTCCGCTAACTAAATCACATGTTGTTTTGCTCCCTTTTTCCACTTTGATTGCTTCGTTTGATCAGGAAATTAAAGGTTTGGGTGGGTTTCATGTTCTAATGGGAGTTAAGAGATATATTTCATGTGATCGAGAATAGGGCAATCTGCTGAAAAGATATGGATTACACCCAAACTAATCATTTTGTTTCCATATATCTCTGAGGAGTGATCACAAGAGTGAAAACAGTTGGAGATATACAGGATTTTTTTCGTAAAAAAAACCGTTACACTGAGCATCAGCCTTGGATACCTATTTAAAGATAACAACAACACATACCCAGTATAATCAAGTGTGGTCTGGGGAGGGTAGTGAGTAGCGCAGCCTTACCCCTACCTTGTGCAGGTAGAGAGGTTGTTTCCAATAGACCCTCGGCTCAAAGCTAGCATGCATAATCACAACACTATAGAGGAAGACATGCAGAGGATACCTATTTAAAGATGAGCTAACCAATAATAAACATGACGAGCTTTCACGGGGCATGCTACTTGCAAATAATATTATGTTATTGATGAAATTAGTGACGGAGTCGTCCAAAAAGTGAAACTATGGAGAGGTACATAATGGTTTTAGGATAAGCAAAAGTAAGACCAAATATAGGCAATGTATTCAACCCCATAGAAAGTATGAAAGTAAAGTAAGAGTAGACGGGATTGTGGTGCCAACATGAAGACAGTTCAGATATTCAAGATCAGACTTATAGGAAAATGGAATGATAAATGAAGATGTAACACATAAAATTAATATAAGATGGACGAATTTGAGGGACGCTAATGAAGTTATGTGATATAAAAATGCCTAAACAGGTTCTATAGAACGACGGTTAGGCCTGCAAATGTTATATGGGAGTGTATGTTGACCCTTTGAGACCGCTAAATGCTATATGAGAGGGAATCTTGCACCTCGAAGGTCCACCATATACATAAGATGAATGTCACAGAATTACAGATGTTAAAAAGATGTGCAATCATAAAAGATTGAGATCAAATCCGACAGAGCGAACGAGTAGCTGATATAGAAAATAAAATGAGAGAAAGTAGTCTGAAAAGGACTAACAATGTTGGTCCATAAGATGTTAAAAAGGAACAAGGTAGACCTAAAATCACATATAAGAAAACAATATTGAAAGATGTACAATCTTAAACTAGTTATCCATGTAGTTATAAGTGTGATCGTTTGAAATTTAGAGAACCCCTAATTTGTCTTATTTAGCATTGAGAGAAATGAACCTCAATAGAGCGAAATAGATATATAGAATTTATATAGTTGACTCTAATTAAATTGGGATCGAGGGATATAGTTGATTGATTGATATCATTTTGTTTCAATGTCGGGATGCAACATTGCCATTCATCACATCACATCAAATTCAATAACCAGGGATGGAAAAGTAAGAGCAAGTAGCTACTGCAACAATTTGATAACTTACTTCAATATGTGATGTTTCTTGAAATTAAACGGAAGTACTTTGACCAGGTATCCATCAATAAACAAAGGAATTAAACTGCAAAGATGTTTTGTCTACCGAGTATCTAAGATGAGTGAATGAAAATAGCTTCTTTTACGTGAAGCACTATATTTTTCATATCAGCTTTCCCGACCTTTTTCTTTTTTAATTCAGCTTTCCTACCATTCTTCAGTAATCAAGATCTTAAGAACTAGAACAATACTACTTAAAAAATTTATCATGCTGGTGGTGGTGAAAGTCTTAATAAATGCCTTTGGTACTCTAACTTCATCAGGCATCATTTAGAATATGCTTCATCCATATGGCAGAAAACTTGATATTGTATCTCATTTAACCTATAAAATGTCAACATTACTTATCACATTTATTCTCAAGTTAATAAGCGTTTTAGCATAAAATGCATTTTTATTGTGCTTTGCAATTGTTTAAATAGCACTTCTAGTTTGTAGAGTTTTTTGTCAAAATGCACCTTTTCAAGTCACTTTTAATCTTAAAATTATTGGCAGCAAGACAGTTGTGCGCCGCCAAGTAAAAAGAGTGGAATTTTTATTTGATTATATGTAGTATATGAGACAATGGAAGTACTTTATTAAATAACCATACCAAGTATTGAATGAAGTGCTTAATTTTAAACTTTAAAAAGTACTTCTATGGAAGCACAAGTCAAAAAATACTTTTCCGAACTATACTGCACTACCAAATGAAACCATAGTATAGCCAACAAGAGAGAAGTCACGGAGTTCAGTAGTCAAATATCCACTTTTAACAACTAGAAGGCTCTTCCCTAGCCAATGTTTTCTTTTGATAAAGTAAAAATTTATTAATGAAGGACAAAAAAGGCCCGTATACAAGAAGTATACCAAAAAGTAGAAAACCTTACAAAAACATATGATTTTCTACGAACGACACCCAATCTTCTATACATAAAGGGACCTCTTCCCTAGTCAATGTACATGATTCTTGTTTACAACCCAAAACTAGCCAATCCACCGGTCCATCGCTATATACTCCGTTGAGAAAGAACAAAAGTACTATTACTCAATCTCCAAGTCAAAGTGACCTCCTTTTAGTCACCTAGAATGAAAATCTTTGCATGAGTTAAGGTTGCGAAATGTCAGATGCATGCTAAGAACATTTATGCACTTCTTGATCCTAAATATGACAAATAAGCCATACTTTCTGCCCAATATCACAACCCAAGCATATACTAAGAGGATTTAGCTCAAGCACAAATGGAGGAATCAAAGTGGGTCAACTACAAGCTTGACAAGGGAAAGAATCTACAGACCTTCACCGTATTCCATGTTCTCAAATGTCGCAAAAGCAATTTCAGGTATCCCACAGGTAGCCTGGCAAGAAAAGAATTAGAGAAACCTAATAATTTAACAAGTCCACTGTTGCTGTAACGAATTAATCAAAGATTTCCTATGTGACTGGTTTGCCTCTTTTTGTTTTAAAATTCTTTCACTAGTTTGTAAAAACGATGAAAATTTTAAATATCATCAAAATAGAAACAACACAATAGAAAGAAGCTCCACTAATCTTGAAACAAGAAGGAGCAAATAGGTCTTAAAAAATTGTCAGATAACTTATGCAAATCACCCCCGATTAACTTGCTTAACTCAAATATATAAACCTAGAGATTTCCACATATACTACACACTCTGCAACTTTTTAAAGAGCCCATTCAGTTGAAGTTCCACCAGCCATGAGAATGCCAGCAAAACTACATTTTGATATGACATGAATATGTGCGCACTATAATATATTTTTCTGGTAATGACAGAATCTAAGCAATTATATATGACCGTCAATCTCCAGAATCCATACTCTTCTTTAAGCTTCAAACTCGACTAACCTCAGAATATCCTTTGCAACTTAACTTTATATAAAGATCGCAACAGTACAGAATGTGTTGCCATAGGATTTTATCATCACAAAAAAGAAATAAAAAAGTTACATCTTAGAGATGCTTCAACCTTTTTGCAATTAATGAAAATTACATTTCTAGTAGGATTTTCTTTTTTCAATATGTTGAGATTTAAGCTTCTTATCCAACAAAAATCATAGATATACTGAAGTACCTGTACGCTCAAAAGACAATTGAAATGGAAGGTAGTGGCCATTCTGCCAGCAGCCTCCATTTCATAGGCAATAGTTAAGGCATTTGAGTGATCTCCTACTTTACAATCTTGTTCTATTAGGAGATCATAGATCTCATCAGTTGCTCTGAGTCCACCCTCAGCACCCTTGAGAAACACTTTGTTGGCATCTTCTAGATGATTACTCCGTACAAGCTCCTCTGCTCCAAGGAAAAGACAAAATTAAAACTCAACAAAAGAATGAGAATATAAATCAAATTAAAGCAACAAATCAAGCTAGCAGCTTGTTTTCACTATACCAACAAGAACCAGCCAAGCTTGGCGAATGTCATATTTCAGTTTCTCCATTGCTGCAAGAATTTCTAAGCCTCTCGTAGCAAGACCCTTGGCACCAAACAAACGAACCAATGCCAAAAATGTTTCATGTAGAGGCCGAAGACCTTCACTCAACTCCCTTCTAAGAGCATGCATCTGTCATTGCATGATATCAGATGAGTTCAATCCTTGCGGTTTATCCAATCATATAGGGTGTCCAAATTCATTTTCTTAAAATTTGTATGGTCAGATTCAGCAATAATGGCTTTCATGAAATACAGTTGGCATAAAACAGTTAATACACAAGCAGCTCGTAAAAGCAACAGACACCTAATTTACTTGCAGAAGAGTTCACGGTTAGAGGACATACCATAAAAAGGGAGGCTTAATTCCGAGACGAGGATGACAATCAAGCTTAAATAACAAATCAGACATGGGGTGAAGACGTACCGACTAATTGGAAAAAGCAGAAGAAAAGGGAAACCAAGTAAAACATGCTCATATGTCAGTGCGAGCTTGTCTGTCTTGAAACTATCAAGGAGCTAATAACATTCTATATTTGTGCTCTAGGTGTTTTTTATGTGGGGAAAAAGTTGAGGCAGTTAGCCATCTATTTCTACACTGCAGGATCACAGATCAACTATGGAAGATATTCATTAACCTCAGAGGTATTTCATGGACAATGCCCTCTAAGATTACTGAAGTGCTCACTAGTTGGGATGAAGCTGGAACCGGAGCTGGAAGCCGAGATAAATGGAGGGAGAGAAACTCTAGATGTTTTGAGGATAGTAGCAATTCAATAGAGAAGATCAAAATGAATTGTGTCCTACTTTTTTATTTTTGGTGTAAACAAAAGTGGCCAGAAGATACTGTATCGATCCTAGAAGTCCTAGAATACTGCTAGGATTGTAGCTCAGTAGTCTATCCTTTTGCATATTGTAAATATGGTTTCAGTACAACCTATGTACTGTTATATATCAACACACACAAATGTTACCTTCTCAAAAAAAAAAAAAATACTTTAACTTTAAATTCCCAATATGTCTATGGTTTTTCTTTCTTAAACACAGTGCGCAATCAAATAACGCCACATAAAATGAGATGGATGGAGTACGAATTAAATAAAACATATCGCCAAGCAATTACAACAGAAAAGAGAAGAAAAGCTTATAGGAAAGGGAGTTACAGCGCCATCATTGTCGCGGTTAAGGACATGAGAAACAACGAATCCATGGAAAGAACGAGGTCCAGGGGAGAGACCAGCAGCAATCATATCATAAATCACTTGAGATACACCTTTAGAATCCGCATTTCGAGCGCGTTCCATCAATTCCTCCATAAAAACAAGCCGCAACACTTTTTCAGTTCCGGATGCCATAGAACCGTCATCTTCCGCCGTCTTCAACTGATGTTGCTGCTGCTGTGTCTGTTTTCTTCTTCTGGTTTTCCGCGGTTGCGACGATACCGACGCCTTAATTGAGCGAGAAATTGATGGACGGGGAATTGGGAGAGTGAATTTAGAATTGAAAGGTAAGTAGTGTATGGAAATGCCAGCCATTGGAGGTGAAATTTGAAAAATATTATACTAAGGAGAAGTGGAAGTGCATTTGGGGAAGGAGAGAGAGAATGAGGGGATAAGGCTTTGGGTTTGGGATGGTTTTAGCGGTTTTCTAAGAGTGAAGAGAGAAAAGGGTTGGGTTTAACATGGAGGGAAATGACGTTACAGCCCGACAAAAAAAACAATTTCGGGTCAAGTTCATCTCAAAGACTTTTTACAAACGAATAATGGTTGCTCTAAAGATTCAAAGAATTTTTGTCATGGAAGCAATAATCAAGTGTAACTAAAAGATTAACAACTTGTTTGGATGCTTATTATTTTATAGTATTGTTATTTTAAATATAATATTTTTATTTAGATTTTATTGTATTGTATCGTATCGTTAAAATTGTTGTTACCTTATTTTTTTCTCATCTTGCCCTTTCTTATTATTAAATAATCTTATTTTATCACTTACCCTACATTTTTATATAATGATTGTACCTTATTTTTCTTTATAATATTGCAAATTTATTCTTCATATTATTAGTGCATGACATTATGAAATGACGGCAAACAATACAATCTATCCAAATATTTTATACATCGAAACGATATGATACAATATAATACAATACATTATAATAGTATATGAAATATTATTAAACGATGCATAACAACCATCCAAACAAGTCGTAAGTGCAAAGTGTAAAGTTTTAGGCAAGAAGATATCTTAAATGAAATGATTTTCTTTTTATACAAATCTTATTTGTAAAAAAATCCATTCTGATGAAAAATGTGTAGTGCTTGATCGAAATTGTGGAACAACAATTGGTCAATCATCTAATTAAACCAATTTTTCTCTAGGAAACAGGATAATGCCACTTGTCAAGTTTTGAAAAAAGTCATATACTATCACGTGTTTTTATAGTCAAAATGTTCGCTAACTAATTTTATATAACACAAATTCTTACGGGAGCAAGGACTTACATAATTAATGTGGAAAGAAAACTACCCAACCAGTATCTATACCAAGTTACATTAGAAATTTATTAATGTTAGTGATAAAAATAAGAAGAAAATGTGCATTAATTGATTATGATTAACAGATAACAGTTCATATGAAAACATGTGTTATATATTTGTTTGATTGATGTAAATATTAAGTGTAAATGATTTTTCTGTTCGTGTGTGTAGGCATTCAAATACACTTTGTCTACTCTATGGATGGTGCTAGAGCTCAATGGCGGGTAATAGAAAAAGTTCACATAAAAACCTTTCGGTATCTTCTTTTTCTTCTAAAGCTCATCCAAATCAATTAAGCTTAACTTGACTTTGTTTTTCATCATTATACAAATTAAGAAGTTTCTAGAAAAAATTTAGATGAAATATAATGCACTATATCTAGTAATTTTTATAGTAAATTCAAATTGGATTAAAAATTCTATATTTGTAAAATTTGTTTAAGACGAAGGAGAGTGAAAATTTGCATCTATGGGTAAATTTTGAGTTTTTTTGAATGAAGGTCAAAGGCAAAGTCACTCTCTAACGGGTCGTTTGGTAGGATGCATTAGATAAAATAATGTATGCATTAACTTTGTGTATTAATAATACCTTGTTTGGTACATTTTTTGAACCTATGCATTAGTTATGCAAGCATTAGCTATACATCCTATTTGGGTGTATCATATGCATAATTTATGCATAGGAAACCATGATATTTAATAATGCAATGTATTTTAATCCATGCATTAGCTTAGTTAAAGACAAAATTATCCTTTAAAATTTTATGTTTGATTAAAATATGCTATTATATTAATGCAAGTTTGAAATCATCCAAGAAAGTGAAAAATAAAATTATATCCCTAGTAAATAAATAAATACTTAGTATATTTTTTTATAAATAAATATTCAGTTTATACTACAATATAGGTAGATAAATCAAATAATATTTTTTTGAACCTTTTTCATATAAAAACATTCCTCAACATATGTTTCTTTTAAAAAGATAAAGTGATGTACTAGTTATGAGGGTATTTTGTAAACAAACAATTCTTTTAGAAATTGTACAATGCTTTACATTAAATCAAATAATAGATAAGAAATATGTCAGCACAACTAATACAAGCATAACTAATACCAGCATTACTAATACATTGTAAAAACCTAGCTGGTCATTTTGAGTATTTGCATTATGTTTCGCTATTTGAAGTCTTCATATGATGTATTATGACTTGTGTGAATCATCGGTTTTGGTTTTTAGGTGATTCGAGATTGAATTGGAAGAATGATTCTCAACTAGGAAGCTTAAAGTTGGAAGAGTTGACCAAGTTTGACTTTTATGTATTTGATCTCGGATCGAAGTTTTGATGGTTATATTAGCTCCAAATGGTAATTTTGGACTTGGTGTATACCTGAATTTGCGTTTAGATGCTTCTAGAAGGTTTCAACACTAATTGGTGAAAGTTGGCAATTTGAAGGCTTGGAATGTTCATAAGTTTGACCGGGAGTTGACTTTGATGATATAAGGTTTGGATTGTGGTTTCGGGAATTGGAATAGCTTCGTTATGTCATTTAGCACTTGTGTGCAAAATTTGAGTTCATTCTGAGTTGATTTGATATGGTTCGGCACGAGTTTTGGAAGTTGAAAGTTCAAAAGTTCATTGAGTTCGATTTGAGGTGCGATCCATAGTTTTGATGTTGTTATGCGTGATTTGAGGCCTCAAGTAAGTCTTATATTATGGGACTTACTGGTATGTTCGGACGGGGTCCCGAGGGACTCGGGTGAGTTTCGAATAGGTTTGGATTATGTTGCATTCGTTTTTTATGTTTCGACGTTGTTTCTTCAATCATAAATGGTATCACATTAAGAAAATAAGTTTCAATTCCAATTTTAATCGAACTATTAGATCTGTATCGTAATTACAGAGCCATAAAAAAAATCGTCGAATTTGAATATTGTATGAGGGAGTTATGCTCATTTTAGTGTCAGAGAAGTGAACTGGTGTTGGTGCTTCGCAGATGCGAAGTTAGGTGTCACGACCCGAATTTTCTACCGTCGAGATCGTGATGGCGCCTAACATAACACTTGCCAGGTAAGCCAACGTTAGAGGTTATTTAGCCATTTCTTTTCATTTTTAGTAATCATTAGCAAATAGGCAAAATGAAGCGAATTAAATGTAAGATGTGTAGATATCGGTTTCGTTTACATAATACTTCTACCTACAGATCCGGTGTCACAATTCACGAATACACTATGATTTTCTACAAACATCAGTCTGAAAGAAATTACAATTGTTTTGGAAATAAAGAAAATAGTAATATAGAGATGTAGAAGGGGACATCATGGCTTGTGGACGCCAGCAGGACTACCTTGGGTCTCCTAGTTGAAAATATCTGCAACCGCCCTCTCGATCAGCCACTACCTGCTCCAAAATTTGCACAGAAAGTGTAAAGTGCAGTATCAGTACAACTGACCCCATGTACCGGTAAGTGTCGAGCCTAACCTTGACAAGGTTGTGACGAGGCTACGACGGAGCAATTAGAATATAACCTGCATACAGTGTGTAATAAAAGCAGAAAAAGGACAGGATAATATAAAGCAGTAACTTGCAAGAAATGAACACATAACTCAAGTGTCTTGACAGTATCCAACTATAACCAATCCTTAAGTGATATGCAAGGCTACCGAATAATTGACACAGTAGAAGAAAGATACATAGACACATAAACTTATGCGGCGCGCATCCCAATCCCACCATATATCAATGTCAATATGAATATTCACCCTTATTACTCCATATCAATCCACCTTTATTGCTCCTGTTGCGGCATGCAACTCGATCCCACCTTATAATAGCAATTTACCCTTATTCCTCCTGTTGCGGCGCGCAACCCGATCCCACCATATAATAGCAATTTACCGTTATGCCTACTCAATATATCACCCTTATTACTCCTGTTGCGGCATGCAATCCGATCTCACCATATCAGCATAAATTGCTTAACAAGTATAGAAATTTCACAAATTAACTTAAAACCCTTCACAACATTTAAACCTCCAAAGCAAACGAAAAGCTTGTACATTATGAAACTTCACACAAATAATATTACTCGGCGAAACCAATCCAAAATATACCATAAAACACCGATAAACCAACTCAAGCCAATAATATGAGACAATGAAACTACGGGGTAGCTAATACCTTCAACAATGAAAAACAATGTCTGACAAGTAACAATTAAGCATAGAAATACCAGTAAAACATGTAGCAGTTAAGGCAGGGAAGACAATATAATAAGAACGGAAGAAAACAGGCAAAATAGATAAATTGGCGGCGCATAGGTACTCGTCACCTCACCTATACGCCACTCACATGGATTTTCACATAGCAATTAAGTTAAGGATTCCTAATCGCTCGATTCAAAGTTAGACACAACACATACCTCGATCCACAGGCCACTCACTGTTCATTTACTATTTTCCCACTAGATTTCACCTCCAAACCACTCGCATCTAGCCATAATTAACTTAATAACATCAAATATTATTAAAGGAATCAATTTCAATACATAAATTTAGGTTTCCCAATATTTTTTCCAAAAAGTCAAAATCGACCCCGAGCCTGCTTGGTCAAAACTCGAGGTTCGGACCAAAACTCATTCACCCATTCACCCTCGAGCCCGAATATATAATTAGTTTCGGAATCTGACCCCAAATCGAGGTCTAAATCCCCAATTTGCAAAAATCTCTAATTCTATCCAACCCCCCAATTTCTACCATGGAAATCCTAAATTTTTAGTTGCAAATTCATGAAATGTGATGGGAAATTAAAAGAAAGTGGGTTAGGATCACTTATCAAAATTTTGGGGAAGAATTGGTCTTGGGACAATCACCTCTAGGGTGCTAAGATTTGAAAAATGTGGAGAATAGGAGAAAATCCCGTCTAACTTACGTTTTGAACAGCTGCAGATGTCGCATTTGCGATCTGAGCTTCGCAAATGCGAGAGAAGCTTCGCAAATGCGAACTCCTCACATTTCTGCTGCCTTCTCAAATGCGAACTATTGTTATGCGATCTTAGGTGATCGCAATTGCGATCCTAATCTTCGCAAATGAGAAGTCCACCCCCCAGCCCAATTGTT